AGTACATCTGGTGTGTTGGAGAGTGAAAAACCACAGGAATGAGCTCTATACAGAAGTGGAATGTGGCATCAGAGAAGCTTGAGATGCAGCTGTGGAGATGGCAGGTGGCTGACACTAACTCTCTGTGTGACCTTGGGCTAGCCACTAAGTTTACCTAGTACTAAGTTTCTTGTTTCATGTCTAAAACAAAGAGTTTAGTACCCTCAAAAGGTATTTCCAGAGGAAGGTACAGAGGAAAAGGGCAGAAAATTCAGGACATGTCCAAGTAACAGAAGAAAGGCAAAAATGAGATCAAATTAAAGATAGAATGGGAAAGTCGATTAAAAGCCTGGACTTCATTCTGTAAGCGACTAGGCATCATCAAAAATCCATCCTACAAATAAAAGTATTAATCATTTGGTCTTCTCCTTTAGACAGGCATATCACACACACAGAAAAAACGGGACAATTTTCGTAGAATAAGTACATTATTCTCTCCCAAGCTTCTGTAAAGACTAAACAAACTTAAGATATTTGGAGCTGACCCTCTTTAAAGGAAAAAGAGACCAAAATTCTCCACTTGCAGTACTAGCTGTAGGTTAGGTCTAGAATATATATATGTATATATAAAATATGTTGTATATATTATATATAGTCTATATATGTATAAAGTTATATATATGAAACTTTAAATATATAATTATATTGTTATAATGATAAAGTATATAATATATACAGGTATCTATATCTATCTCTCGATATATAAATCATTACATATAACATAAGCTAATATGGAAATGAGGGGGATATGACCTCTAGCCTCCATTTGATGGTACTCAGTTTAGTTCATTTCAGGACAAAATTGGAGGCAGAGATTTAGGGCAAGAGAAAAACAATTGATAATCAATTCTTGCAGCTCACTAGTTTTACTTATGCTAATAAGTAGTACAGTGAATGTAGCATAGATAGATGAACTGCTGCAGGAAAATGCAGACAAATCATTCAGTGGAATCTTAGTTCAATATCCCAGGAAGGTAAATTGTTTGTCTAAACTCATAGTTTCCTTTGGATTGTTGGATTCAGGGTGATTTTTAACTTGTTATTTCTGTACTTAAAAACACCATGTAGTTCTCCATGAATTCAGAACTTATATATAAAGAAGAAAAGAACTTGTCTGTTTGTATTTTCAAACTTGACATTTTGCTTTTCAAATTAATTTTTACACATACTGCCTTGGTTCTCATTTTTGGTCAGCTGTATTTTATTGGATTGACGAAGAAAGATGGAGAGTGACAGACAGACACATGGGCAAACAGTTGGAGTTAGGAAATAAGCAGTGGGGTGAATAATCCCCAAACATAGGGTAATTGCAAGGAAAATTTCATTTGGCTCTTGAATACACACAATGAGTTGTAGAGAATAGATTTACTTCTCTAATTACTCTATGTTGTACTTGGGCCAATGCTGAAATGATTTCACATTCCCTGGGCATATACCAACTGTTGGGGTGAGGAGGGGCCCATAAACATACTGGATACAGAGGGAAAAACATTTTTTTGCATACCACACACAATGCAAAATGCTATTCTTAGAGCGTTGTCTGTATTGTTACAAAACTAGTTGATTTCTTTAATTTAGATGAAGGATTGCACAAAGTTCTTGAAAAACAAAAACATAAATCAAGTTGATTTATTTATTCTGATTTGATCACCCAAACAGCTAACTTCAAGCCACATATAGACGCACATATAGTCAGAGTGAAATATATGGCCATGTGGCTTATAAACATTGATCACCTTTCCTAGTTTATATATAAAAAATTGAAATTGAGTTATATTTAATATACAAATACCATATTTATAATAACTCTATAAGAATAATATAAACTTAGAAAGAAGATATACTTCTGAAGGTCAATTCTAAAAAGAAGTGCAGACAAAGAAGGCAAGGAACAAAAAAATATATATATATTAGGCTAGAGTTTTTCCACCCTTTACTTTGCAATGAATATGGTGGTTATCTAGAGACACTTCACCATTATTTAACCCATATTTAACAGAACAATATAGGCATTGCTATTTTTCCATTGAGAAAGTTGAGGCTTGCAGAGTTTGATGAGGTTATCGTAAACATGATAGAGATTTAATAAGTAAAATATTTCAAATTTGGACCCAGATAAATCTGTTTTCAAAACTTGCTTCTGCTATTCCTGCCCTTTCCCCTATTCCTGCCCTTTCCCCTATTCCTGCCCTTTCTCCTATTCCTGCCCTTTCCCCTATTCCTGCCCTTTCCCCTATTCCTGCCCTTTCCCCTATTCCTGCCCTTTCCCCTATTCCTGCCCTTTCCCCCATTCCTGCCCTTTCCCCATTCCTGCCCTTTCCCCCATTCCTGCCCTTTCCCCCATTCCTGCCCTTTTCCCCATTCTTGCCCTTTCCCCTATTCCTGCCCTTTCCCCCATTCCTGCCCTTTCCCCCATTCTTGCCCTTTCTCCTATTCCTGCCCTTTCCCCTATTCCTGCCCTTTCCCCTATTCCTGCCCTTTCCCCTATTCCTGCCCCACCTCCCCACCTCTGCTGTTTTCCTGGGCCTTGTCAATGGTTGGCGACAATGACTCACTGGAATGACCTGCTGACTGGGGCCTCCACTGGAATCACGCCGTGCAGAAGGCACTTGCTGGGCGGGGCAAGGTGGCTCACGCCTGTAATCCCAGCACTTTGGGAGGCCGAGGTAGGTGGATCACTTGAGGCCAGGAGTTTGAGACCAGCTTGGCCAACATGGCAAATCACTGTCTATACTAAAAATACAAAAATTAGCCAGGCGTGGTGATCCATGCCTGTAGTCCCAGCTACTTGGTAGGCTGAGGTGGGTGAATCGCTTGAACCCGAAAGGCAGAGGTTGCAGTGAGTTGAGAGCACACAGCTGCACTCCAACCTGAATGACAGAGGGAGCCCCTGTCTAAAAAAAAAAAAAAAGAAAGAAGCAATTGTTGCTACAACTGTTTTTTCACATCAAACTTCTGGACAAATAATATGAGAGGCACCTTTAAGAAAAAAATAATAATAAATGAAGAAGAGAATTCAATGTTTTCTATAGTATGCTGGGAACTCACTCTAAAAGGTTACATTCTGAAGCCTGATGCTAAAAAGCAGAAAGGCCCTTCTTAAAATTCAATAGCGCTTTTTAAATGTTTTAAAATGTTTGGTTTGTTTTGTTTTGTCAAGATGTGGACTACTACCATCCTATAATGTAGAGGTTTCTTGAGATTATTTGATTTATGTGAATTTTGCATTTAAAACACAGAGACTGATGAGAATTAGAGGCTCCAAGGTCCCACAGTAGAATAGACCAGGACTAAAATATTGGTCACATTATTGATTTGGACCTGAGTTTCTTACAGAGGAAAATGAGAAGTTGGACTAGATAACTGGTAAGATCCTTTCCAGCTGTAAAATCCAGTGACCGTAAGCACTCTGATTCTCAGCCCACTAATCTGTGTGCTCTTTATAGGATGCTATACTACTTATCATCACAATTCTAGAAAGTTTTTTTTTTTTTTTTTTTTTTTGAGATGGAGTCTAGGTTTGTCACCCAGGCTGGAGTGCAGTAGCAAATCTTGGCTCACTGCAACCTCCACCTCCCAAGTTTAAGTGACTCTCCTGCCTCAGCCTGTCAAGTAGCTGGGATTACAGGTGCCCACCACCACACCCGGCTAATTTTTGTACTTTTAGTAGAGGCAGGGATTTCACCATGTTGGCCAGGCTGGTCTCAAACTCCTGACCTCAGGAGATCCACCCGCCTCGGCCTCCAAAAGCGCTGGGATTACAGGCGCGAGCCGCTGCGCCTGGCCTAGAAATCCTTCTCATGTGCTGAGGCCCAATGATGCAGCTGTTTGAGGGTTAATCGGAACGTGTAATAGAGAAAGGGAAGAAGGGAAGCAGCCACTCCCAGGTTTGGTGGAATCCACTGACACGGAGAGGGACTAAAGAGGTATTTATATTGGGATTATAAGATAATAAGCTGTCCCTATTTGAATGAGTCCTTGGGTGCTCTGAGTCTGCTCTTAGGCTTTTGGGCTGACCTACTTAATTTGTAAAATATTCGTTTCTTGATTTCCTCCCTCCATTCCAGTTGCATTGATCTTGTCAAGGGTATCAATGCATCTGAGCACTGGGAAAAGGAAAAGACTGACTCAGATCAAAGGTACTTAAACCTTAAGCCAGAAACTTTAAGAAAAAAAAAAAGGAGCCTTAAATGGAAATACATACTTTGCAATTCACTTCCTTTCCCCCTCTCTATTTCTATTTTTGTCTTACATCTCTTCTAGCAAAAGGATGAGCTTCATGTCTATCATTTTGGCAGTTTCCAATGTCTTAGTATGCAAATCCCCTGGTACACAAAAGTGAGAAGGGTAAAATCTGGGACATTGTAGTATAGGCCACAATGCTAGCTATTTTCTTAGAGATGTCAAGCTAGTTTATTAAAGTTATCCCCTGACTGTCGTGTATTTACCCACCTTTAACCCTCTACCTTGCTTTGCTAGGTAATTGCAGACAGAGGGTTTGGGAAGGTTTAACCATGTACATTTTAATTAATCTCTGAAATCATCAGTACATTTTTTATACCTGTGCAAATGTCTTAATTGATAACAAGAGTCAGCAAACCCTTTTGTAAATATTTTCAGCTTGCAATTCATATTGTCCCTGTTATAACTACTCGACTCTGCTCATGTAGTAGGAACACACATAAACAAATGGATGGCTGTGCTCCAATAAAACTTTGTTCACAGAAATGGTGAACTTCTGACCATACATTTGTGCCACAGAATTAAACTATCATTATACGTTAAATATCACTGGATATGTAATAAGGTGTTGGAAACTATTCCTTCTGTCTGGATTCCTCATTCTTTGCCTTGCAGTGAAATCTTACTCAACTTTCTGAGTCCAGATCAAATATCACATCCTCTGGGAAGTTTTTCCAACCTCTTCTTCTCGTGGTCACCCCAGCTCACCAATGAGTTAGTTTTTTTTTTTTTTTTTTTTTTTTTTTTTTTTTTTTTTTACCAGGTGAACCAAAGACTTTATTTTTCAAAAGCAGGTAACACCAAAGTACTACGTGGTATCCATATTCATTGCAAAAATGGTGATTACTGGAATTTTCCAAACGTCAAATGACGTAAGGGGGATCAACGGTTACCACTATCATTTTCAACCAATATACAGATGTTTGCTCAAGGTCTAGGCTTTATTTCTACATAGTAGTATTCACATGAGTTCCCTAGGGTGAATTATTGTCAAAACAAGGACTCTTGAAGGTCGAGCCCAGCCTAGCCTTGACTTCAAAGATGACACAGCAGCCAACCTAGAATCCTGGCTTGCTGCTTGAGTCCTGGAAGTCATGTCTTCTGATGTTTTACAACAAGCCGTGTCTCTGAAAACTAAAAGCAGACTTCAGATTCCTCTGAAACAGCTCTGGTTCCCAAGTGTTCCGCACCGTGGTACCCAGAGATGCTCAAAATGTGCTTTCCCTTATCTTTCAAAACCCACCACCAGGAACCCAAGGGGGACCCCACTTGGAGAGTTCCAAGATGAAGGTGTTTAAGAACCACGTTAACCCCAAGTAAAGGCAGCGGATGAAATTATCCATTTCTTTTCCTTATTTTTTTTTAAGTGAGACTACCTTGGCAAATGGGAAAATGACACCAATCATATGATTAGAGAAAATTGTTTTATAAATCCTCCTCTTGAAATTATGTTCAGGCCCCACACGGTAGCTTATGCCTGCAATCCCAGCACTTTGGGAGGCCAAGGCAGAAGGATCACTTGAGCCCAGGAGTTCGAGACCAGCCTGGCAACACAGTAAGACCCCGTCTCTGTTTTTTTTGTTTGTTTGTTTAAAGAAAGAAATTCTGTTAAAAAGTATTTCAGACCAAAAGGAGGTCATAAAAACTGTTCATATAATTACTCTATGAGAAAAAAAATCCCTGTATGGAAAGGGGCACTGAAGATCTGGCACAGAGAAACAAGGGGAGACAGCGCAGTGATAAAATCCAGCCCTGGTTTTCTAGCATGCATTTATGACCTCATGGATATGTCTGTACTGGGTGTTAATAGCCCCTCTTTGTACTTAAAAATAAATTAGGAAATTAAAGTGAATCTGTGTGCTAATGAAGTCTGAAGTTACAGAATCTAAAAGCCAAGCCTGTAAAGTCTGTAAGGCAAGATCTTTATCATCAGGGATGGGAAGAGATGGATAAGATAATGGTAGGCACTAAAGGTTGCTTCAGCTGAGCTCCGGGCAGAACAGCCTCAAAAATAAGGCAACTGTGGCTTCTCAGTTTGAGGCTGCCACCAGAAAGGCCCACGGAGGCAGGAAAAAAGAGCCACTGATGGCAGATCACTGGAAGATACTCGGAGAGGGCAATGATCACAGTTAGATGGGAGGACTGAGGGTCACAGGCAGGCAGGAAACCATTGAACTGACACTCAAGGGGAATGTCTTTGCAAGTCCTATGCACGACTCCAAGCAGCAGTTGCCGGGGTTTGGAGGTTTGTTTGTTTTGCGACATTTCCCCCCAAAAGAAGACATGAAGGTGGGCCCCCTGGAGAGGTGGGACCACCAGGGCAGAACCTCCACCAGGTGTGAAGCTTGATGAGAGGTGGAAAGGGCTTCCTGCGGCACCCGGCTCCCTCCCCGTCTGGCTGAGTCCTACAAACGCTTGTAGGTGCCCACCAGAGCTCTGCAGCTGGGACAGTAACGGTCCACGTCCTGCAGGGCGTCCACGCAGAAGGGGATGAAGCAGCAGGCCCGCCACGCACCCCAGCAGGCACAGGCTCCCGCGGGACAGCCAGGTCAGAGCACCGGCGTTACAGGACAGCTGACTCACGCTCATCTTGTTGCAGGAAGGACAACGCATTTGGACAGGACGGTCCAAAAAGGGGATGGGGTGCTGCACACAGACCGTCTGCACGGTAATTGGATTGTTACTGGGGGTGGGCGCTGGCTGGCAAAATACGAAGCAGGATTCATGCCCTTCCCTCCAGGCCCTGTCACCAGCCTCGTAGTTGGCCCAGGCATGGGAGCTGAGGCGTGGGGTAATGACCGTTAACAGCACCGTCTCTTCACACCCGGGCGTGGGAGCTGCGTGAGGTAATAACTGGTAACAGCACCGTCTCTTTATACCCGGGCATGGGAGCTGGAGACGTGAAGTAATAACGGTTAACGGCCACCGTCTCTTCACACCCGGGCGTGGGAACTGAGGCCTGGGGTAATGACCGTTAATAGCCACCGGCTCTTCATACCCGGGCATGGGAGCTGAGGCGTGTGAGGTAATAACCGTTAACAGCACCGTCTCTTCACACCCGGGCGTGGGAGCTGCGTGAGGTAATAACGGTAAGCACCGCATGGGAGCTGAGCGTGTGAGGTAATAACCGTTAAGCAGCACCGGGGGGAGCTGCGTGGGTAAAGTAACAGCACCGTCTCTTCACACCCGGGCGTGGGAGCCGGAGGCCTGGGGTAATGACCGTTAACAGCACCGTCTCTTCATAGGATGGCGGTGCAGACGGCGCTGAGGAAGGCCCCGTGGCCGCCTGGCGAGGTCCTGGAACCGCCAGTTCACCGCCGCCTGCGCCGCCTGTCGAGCCGGGAGGTCAGAGTTAGTTTTATTCCCTCGGGCGTATTACTTCTTAAATAGATTTTCTATTGTGTATTATGATGAGTTTGTACGTCTTTCTCCTTCAAAAAAAATTGTAGGTTTTTGAGAGAAGGATAAACTGTTACTCATCTTTGACCCCTATGGCCAAAGACTGACTGTAGCTTGTAGTTAAATATGTAAGAAGTGATTGTTCGACACTATGCATCAGGAAATTTAAGTTCATTGTTTTTCTGCTTTATCAGAGAATCGGATCTTTTTAAATTCAAAGAGAACATGATGACATAAATAAAATGTGCTTCTTTATTTATTTTTAAAATAACACAAATAAAGATGTGAACTACTGCCGTAGCTATATATTTGTTTTTTGTAATACATAGGAAATTTAAAGAGGTAAAACCACCACATGAGTTGAGATAAAATACTACATTACCCAACTCGCCTTGCAGCTAGGTACTACACTATGATTCCTTCCTGGCCAATAAGAAGTGAGTGAAAAATGGTGTATGGAACTTTCAGAGACGCTTCTTAAAGAGACTTAACCCAGCTGGGAGGAGCACACTCTTGCCTTTCCTATCTTCCTCTTTCATCTGGAATGTGGAAATCATGATGTGATTATTTTACATGACACGCCTGAATCAAAACACCTCAGGTACCCCCAAAATATTATACCTACTATGTACCCACAACAATTAAAATTAATAAAAAATTTCTAAAAAATTCAAGAGTCAACTCGCAGTGGACACCTTGAAGCCAAAATACAGATAGTGCCTGGGTCCTTCAGGTCATATTGGTGCACTTCCATGCCTCTTGTGGACTGCCTTCTTAAAAAATTCTTTTATGTGTCATAATTGTTTCTGTTTTCCACTATGGAAGTCTACCGGACAATATCTCGCTGATATAGTGCTGTATGTTCCAATTCACATGAGTAATTACAATGTATTCTAAATCTTATGTCAATGTCTCTTTACTGAGTGTAGAGGAACCCCTGATGCATGATAAAGTAGTTTTTTTCTTAATATAAAAAATGAATGCCTCTGAATGATAAACATCAGAACTTTCCAAAGTGACAATTACTAACCTTGTGTAAAATATTATTTTAAAGATAATTTAAATCTAAAATGACATGCAAAATGTGAATATGTTCTGTTCTCTGTTCTTTCCTCTCCACAAGGAGAGGAAAAGGTAGATACCCACTTTGGACAGCACTGTATGTAAGTGACTTGAAGTATGTAGTCCAACCAGGCTACTGGTTTATATCCCAGATGTGTCATTTTAACTGCAGCAAGTTACTTAAACTTTCAATGGTTTTCAATTTCGCATATATAAAACAGGAATAGCAGTATCAACCTTATTGAATTCTGGGATCATAAAATGGGTTAATTGATATAACATACTTAGGCAGTATAAACATTGTTTTACATTTAGCTATTTTTTATTTTTTGCCACCAACTGGATTTGGGTAGAAATCCATACTCTACTACCGCCATCTATGTGACGCAGGAAGAGTCACTTCACTTCTCTGAGGTCTCAACCTTTTCTGATCTGGAAGATGAAGAGAAAACTATTGACCTATTAGTGCCACGGTGAAGTTAATCAAGATGCATATAAAGCCACTAGGTCAGTGCCTGGCTCATAGTAAACACCTAACAAATTGTCACTCTAACTTTTTATTTTTCCTTTTAGTTACTATCAGTCTTTTTTCCTCCCTTTAAACAGGCAATTTTATTGTCAGAATGAAGTGAAATTCCTCCAATGGGCAGATGTACTCATTCAACACTCACATATATGTACAAACATGGGTAAAACCACTGAAATATATAGTCACATGCACGCATGTCCCCAGGAAACACAGTGCTTGCAATCACACTGTGTGAAAATTTTATACCAGTTATATTAAAAGAAAGTCATATGACATAAATATATAATTTCATGCACTTAAACCTGTTTTTCTTTCAAAACTACCTAGATAAAAGTTAAACACATAATATTACTGAAAAGGGATCCCATATTCCTCATCTCCATTCTTTAACTGTGCACAATAATCTCTGTCTCTTTAGAGCAACATTCTTTTTTAAAGTAAGAAGAGAAAACCTGAACATGACATGGGGATTGAGCAATAAAACAGCTGCCTAATTACCTTCAGGGACTTGCAGATCATTCTAGAATGTCATTCTGCCGAGAAGCTCTCCTTCTAGTAACATTTATGCTTCTTATGAACGCTGTTTTTAGGTCAGAATGCTTGTCAAATTACAGGAAATTTGATCTTAGTTCCTTCTCGAAAATTAAAAGATCAGAAAACAATCTCTCAGGTCTCTATTAGTTACAATATTCTATGATTTTATGATTCCTTAGAGATTCGTTTTCCTAGAAATGGTTGGGAGGGAGGATGCAAGAACAGAGAGTACACAAGAGAACACTGGTAAACTTTAAAATGGAGCAAGAGCCAAGTTCACAGTCCAATGACACATTGAGAAAAATCTTGTAATACATTGTGTCCCTTTATTGCTACTGCCTCTTTAGTAATAAACGGGAAGCTACAACTCAATACGAGAATGTGTTCGAGGTCACATTTTGAACTTCAAAGAGACTAATGAAACCTTTGCGGAAGCTCTGAAAGCTGTGGGGAAGTCATAAAAAGGATACCGTCTGCACTTTGTAGATTCATTCTTGGTGTGAACAGCAGCAGGTGTGGGCATGGAGGCAGGATGGGAGAAAAGAACGATGTGGGGGCTTCTGCTGCAGAGGGTCTTCTCACAGGTTTCTGTTGCTCAGAGAGTCCCAGTTATATTTACCTACCATGAAACTACATTTATCAGCCAAAATCAGACTGTAACAAATCCATTTCTCACTTTTTGTAAATTACACAAATGGAATTTTGACTTTTAGGGATGTTATTCTGTTAAAGTTTTAAACATATTACAGGGAAAGGTCTAAATAAACCAAGGTCCACTAGATGTCTAAATCTAGCTTTTCGTCTCTGACGTTTTCATAGCAGGTTTATATTTTTGACTTTTCACTTTCTTTAATGCCTTGCAGCTCTCAGTACCACATGTCATCGGCCAATATATAAAACTTGTAAGTGAAGCTGGGAGAAAATGAGACATAAATGAAGAATCACGAAACCATACATGTTTCTTTGAAAACAGTTCAAGTTTTCTACAAGTGACAGTTGGAACACATTTTGTTCACTGAGAATGAGAAGGGAATGAATGTTTGACAGAGAGTGGGTTACCCATTCAATGGTTTTCTTTCTAGAGTTCAACATATTAAAGACAATAACTGTTCCTCTCCCACTGTTTTCAGTGCTGGACACAGAATAAATGCTCAATATATATTTTTATCTGTTGTTAATAAAGGGGCGAAGATATGCTTAGGCTTTATGTGCAAATGTACACAATGGAGAGCAAAAGCGATGTGTACACATTTGAATGGATGAATTTAACATATCTGAGTCATTTTATTAGTACAAAAAATGCCTCGCAGGCATGTAAGAAATAATGATCAAGTTCCAATATCCAGTTTTGTTTTGAAAGGAGATGTACTATATTCCAGTTTCTTTTTGTGATCGTTGGGGAAAAAAGGAAATAATACAGTGGGAGAGGAACAGTTATTGTCTTTAATACTGTTGAACTCTAGAAAGAAAACCATTGAATGGGTAACCCACTCTCTGTCCAACGTTCGTTCCCTTCTCATTCTCAGTGAACAAAATGTGTTCCAACTGTCACTTGTAGAATATGTAGAAATATGTTATTTGAGAATAACATAACAAATATAGAGTTAAAGTAGCCCTCAAAATATAGAAACAAGTAACATGAACTTCATTTTTTCCCTTTCACCTGAATCCTTCGTTTAATTTTAAAGATTGCTGAGCAATAGAAAGTCAGGGAGGGAGAAGGCAAGAAGGTATAAAGAAACTAACTTTAAAATTGGGTTAAAAAAGAACTATAGCTGCAAATTAAGGAAACCACTGTTTTAAACATATCAAACTAGAAATAGCTGCCATTATAGAATACAGATTAGTTAATGAAAGTGTTTATTATTGTTGAACAGAAGGTCAGAGAGAGAGAGACAGCACAGGGCAATTCTGAAACAAGTTATAAATGAACAAGCCACGAGAAGTGAGGGAAAAGGCTGAATTTAGGTGCTTATATTCCTATTATTTTCTGTAAAAACACCATGGAAACACCACCTCTAACTTGTGTGTGTCTCCGACCAAGGGCTAATGTGTGCTGTCATTAGTCAGCAGGTTGTTATTGAACAACGTTGTGGAAAGAAGAACACTTCATTCAGGCAGTCATGTATCTAACCTCTGAGTTTCCAAAGTAATAATCAAAAATAAATTTTAAAATGTTTCCTTCATGAAGGAGAATAGGCTCTGTAAGTCCATATGATAGCTGGAGAAAGTGAGTTGAAGGTGAGATTTCAGGGAAAACTGACATTTAGAAGTGGGTTTCCAAAAAAAGAAATAAAAGTTGAAAAAGATTAAATAGAACTCCAAAGACCCCAACAATAATCTAGGATTTTTCAATAACAGAGATTAAAAGGATAATGGTAACATTTGTCCAACAATATATTTATCTGATATCTTCATTATTATTATTTTTATAAATATTTCCAGCTGAATATTGATTTGGATAATGAAGAATATCTTGAAACACTAATGAACCACAGTTACCGGGCTTTTCTGAAGACTCAGCTGCTTTGTGAATTTTACTAGTTTATTCTCATGTTTGGGATTGTACCTTAAGCAATTCTTAAAGTTGAGGAGGTACAGAGAGGAGGTTCAGGTGAGCGCCTGGGTGGGCCCTAGGAGAGAGTGACTGACTACATGTAACACAGAGGGGAGGATCTTGAACCAAATCTGATCAAACATCTGGAAATCACTCTCAGTTTATAAAAAACACAGGAAATAGAAGAACATGTGAAATGATATCATGGGGATCAGTTATCAAAATTTAGAATATAGGGGAATAATGGGACAAATGACACACTTTTTTCAACAAGTAAATTGATGTTTAAAATAAAAGATAGGTAGATTAAAAGAGACTTAGTGACATACCGACCATACGCAATGAAGACACTAAAGTACATCAGTTCTAATCATATATTTATGAGACATCTGGGGAAATTTGAACACCTCATATTTGATAACATTAAGAAATGATTGTCAACATTTTTGGTAGTGTTAATGATATTATAGTTATTTTTCAAAAAGTTCTTATATACTAAAAACTTTAAGGGTGAAATGGTAAGACATTTGCTCATTGCTTCACTTTTACCTGAGGTTGGCAGAAGTGGGTAGGATTACAAATGAAATAAGTTTGGCATAATTTGATAGTTGTTTAAGCTGGGTAGTGGATATATGGAGTTTATTACACTCATCTCTCTATCTTTTGTTTACACATTTGAAAATTTTCAAAGTAAGTCAGTGTGAACTATGTAAGACAAAATTAAATAATGAAACAATTCATAACTTTAAATTTATATTAAATATTTGATTTATACTTAATTTGCTAGTTGGCCCATTTTAAATACTCAGAATAGCTAGGAGTGGTAGCTTACCCCTGCAATCCCAGCACTTTGGGAGGTCAGGCCAGGTGTGGTGGTGCAAGCCTGTAGACCAGCTGCTCAGGAGGCTGAGGCATGAAAATCGCTTGAACCCAGGAAGGAGGTGGAGGTTACAGTGAGCTGACATCACGCCACTGCACTACAGCCTGGGTGACAGAGTGAGACTCTGCCTCAGAAAAATAAAAGTAAATAAATAGATAAGTAAATACACACAATAACCTGAACACTTATACTGGCATTTTGGGGAAGGCAAAGTTGAGGATTAAAAACAAGAGAGTTGTACAGAATTCAAAGAGAAGTTAAAACAATGTGGCCTGCCTCATCACCATGTACTTTCAAGTTTCATTTGAATAAAATTTATAGCTTTTTCAATGGCTTACAAGGAATTATGATTTACCCCGTGCTACTGCTCAAATTGTCAAGAGACCTTCCTCGATCATACTTTCTAAGGTAGTAGTACCATTACTCTTACTTCCTTTATCAGACTTCATTTTTTCTTATAGTACTTATTTCTAAATTAAACTGTCTTATGTATTGCTGTGTTTATTGAACTTTTTTCTCCCTGTAGAATGTAATATTTAGGATGATGGTGTTTTGTTTTTGCACATGGCTGTTATCCCACCCCTCAGAATAAGGTTAGCACATACAGGTTGAGGATCCCTTATCCAGAATACTTGGGACCAAACAGGTTTGGGATTTCTACATTATTTTCAGATTTTGAGATATTTGTATATATATCATGAAATATTTGAGGATGGGACCCAAGTCTAAACATGAAATTTATTTCTATTTCATATGTATTTACACACATAGCCAGAAGGTAATTTTATAAAATGTTTTAAACAATTTTGTGCCTGAAAGAAAGTGTGTGTACATTGAACAATCAGAAAGGAAAGGCACCACCACCTCTGCCACCCGGGTGGACAATCTGTGGTTGTTTGAGATCACTCTTTTTCCTGACTGAATTTATAGGCTACTGACAAGCAGTAAGCAATTATTTCCTTATAATTATTCACAGCTAAGTGCCGAACAGTAAAAAATACCATTAATAGCGTGAAAAAATTATGTGTTCAGAGTAACAGCACAGTAGCATCGCCAGAATACCTGTATCAGCTGTTAAACAACAGCAACAGCTGACAGTGGCAGGCCTTCAGTCTCTATCTGTGATGCTGAGTTTTGATTAAAGAGTTAAATTACACTATATATATATATATATATATATATATGAAGAAACATCAAAAGCAATTGAGGGACCGGGAAGGAGATTCTCTAGAGATAAGGAGGATTCTTCAGGCTTTTAAAAATGTTTCCTCCAGAGTCATCTGCCTCATGAACAATGTTTGTGTTTTAGAAGTCTCTCTTTGATTTTACAACTGGCATGTTTTGTTCTGCTATGGATGCCTACTGCTCTTGTCCTTCAATAAGCCCATCACACATTTCCACCATGTCATCTGTAGGCATTTTTCAGGCAGTGTTAACACGGACATCACTGTCATGCTCAACTTGATTCACACCCATTTTGTCTATTTTACCATCAGGCAATAAATGAACAACTGGAGCCTCATTACCAATGTTAAAAACTTCTTTGATATCCACTTCTTCCCACTTACGGAGGGGCTCTGAAGATACCTGTTTTGCATATGAAAGGAAGTCAGACATAATTTTTCTCTCATTTGACATACAAAATCCTTTAAAGTTACTACTTTGTTCATTATCTTCCGTGAACATAAAGGCAGGCCAGAGGTTGTATCAGGGATGCACAACTATTTTTAGTAGCTGTGTTCCCAGCATTGGCAACAGCATATATGGCGTCCTTCATGCTAAACTCCTTCTGAAAACCTCCCACACTCATGCCTCTGTTCACTGAGGCTAGTACACTGCTCAAAAAAGTGTTTTATGTTTACTTGCTTTGATCTAAAGATACCCTGGTCACATGGTTGTATTAAAGCCACATTTGGGGAAAGATATATGGCATAAATATTATTTTGATGAGAGTTTCAGCTGAAGGCTGAGCAGAGCAGTCGTAAAGGACAAAACGTTGCAGTCATCATCCAGTCTCTGCGCTGGGCACACGTCACTGGTACAAAGTGTCTGTGAACCCAGTAAGAAAACATGTCTCCTGTGACCTATGCCTTTTATTAGTGTAACAACGAACTGGAAAGAAATTCACAATTTGAAAATAGTGAGGATGCAAAATTTTGCGTATCACAGCAAGTTTATACGTATGCGTGCCTGACATGGTAGCACAGGCCAGCGCAGTTATTTGTCCCTTGCATTCTTAAATTCCTGTACAGGGTGTCTTGTCAGCCGCATTCAGTGTCTTTCGGGGGCAGTAACACCAAAACAGTGATAGTTCATCAGCATTAGACACTTGTTCTGGTGTCAGATTTTCATTAGTGATGACCTTGGCAAACTTGTCAATACATTTCTTTGCTGATTCATGATCAGCAGAAGTTTTATCACCACAAATCTTTAAAACTTTAATACTGTGTCTTTTCTTAAATTTCTGCAACCAGTCCATCTGTTCCCTTCAATTTTCAGTTTCTTGTGATAGATCTTTGCTTGCTTCATAAGCAGCATACCATTAAGTGGCATGTGTTCACCAAGAAGCTGAAGAATCCATTCTTTCAGTACACAATCGAGATCTTCATTCATAGTTTTATGCAGTGTTTTTCTATTTTTCATTAACAACTTCTTTTATTTCATTTATTTTATTTTTCTTTTTCTGAGACAGAGTCTTTCTCTGTTGCCCAGGCTGGAGTGTAGTGGAGGAATCTCGCCCACTGCAATCTCTGCCTGCCAGGTTCAATTAATTCTCCTGCCTCAGCCTACCAAGTAGCTGGGACTACAGGTGCCCACCACCACATCTGGCTAATTTGTGTATTTTTGGTAAAGACGGGGTTTTGCCATGTTGGCCAGGCTGATCTCGAACTCCTGATCTCAGGTGATCCACCTACCTCGGCTTTGCAAAGTGCTGGGATTACAGACGTGAGCCACTGACCCCAGCCATATTTTTCATTAACTTCTATTCATCACTTTCAGCATAGAACTTCAACAGTTTATCCTTCCATTTCCTCAGGTTGTATATGGTGGTCACTCTAACGCCATACTCTTCTATAAGACATTTCACACTTACATCACTGTCCAGTTTCTCCAGCAGCTTGATTTTGTGTGTTATCAGTGAACATAAATGCTTACCCATTTTCTTATCACTGTCACTCACAGGGATATCTTCAGGCCTTTTTTGACATTTTTTGACAATATTCTTTCAACACAAAGTAGAGAATAAGCAAGAAATCTCAGTAAATAATGTATGCAGATCTTGGTCCCATGTAGACCATCATAGGGAATCTTGCCTTGGCATGTCCAGCCTACACATGGGACATTTTATTGCCCTTTGTGGGTGTGCTTGTTTGGGGAATCTGGGCATGTGCAGAAAAGATGTATTGTACCTGAATGGACGAGTTGCACCTGAATGGACGAGTTGCACCTGAATGGGTCTGGGAGAGTCTATATTTGCCTTGGGGACATTGAATAAACTGGGTGCGTGAGCCTGTATTTGACTGTGACCCATTGCATGAGGTCAGGTGTAGAATTTTCTACTTGTGGTATAATTTTGGCACTCAAAAAGTTTCAGATTTTGGAGCATTTCAGATTTTGAATTTTCAGGCTAAGGGTGATCAACCTGAATGAGGCATTAGATAAATATTTGCCAAAATGAATTCTGAAATTTAAAGAAAAGTATTCGTGGCAGATGCTTACGTGGGCTTTGCTAGGATAATTCTTGTGACGAGGCACTCACAGCTTCATGAAGCGTGACTTCCATTGCTGGACAGCAGCAACTGTTGGGAAGTGTTGCCTCAACACAGGGCTGAATGTCTCTTGTTCCACTTTCCACCCACTGCTCTTAATTCTCTCTCCAGGTACTATGTAAACATACTACCATCTGCTGTTGAATAAGGATAAGCTTCCTTTCTCAGTGAAAATTCAACCAAGGGGGACTTTTGCTTGGAGTTCCAGGACTGCACATTAGTGTTTATCTGTGACCCGTGGGCAGTTATCATCCAAGGCTAAGCTGCCACCCAGAAGAGCTGCCAAGACCAAGCCTGGCATTCACTGAATCTCTGCCTCTTTCTCTCTCTGGCTCTACTCCACCAGGGGTGAGTAAAATTTGTCAGCAAAACATTCACACAGAATGGGTGTGACTGAATATCTTCTTTCTCAGAGAGTAGGGCTGTCTGCCACTGAGAGTCGGTTGTTTTAACAGAAGGAGCCCTAAAATGGCACTACCTTGACCCTACCCCTTCTTTTACTAGAAAAACTACTTTTGTTTCTACAAAGGTAACTTTCTAAGAATAACAAAGGTAGTTTCCTGATAGTAATCTTATTAGAGACAGGAAAAACAAACACAGAAGCTAACTCCCAAACCCAAATCACTATATAGGCATGTATATAACTTTGATAAGGGCTTTAATAGAAATAGTAGAGTTTCTTCAGATTCACATATCTACATATGCATCATATAATATAAAAAAGGATCATTTGGTTCAATGGATGAAGAATCCAGACAGAATCAATATGACCTGGGTTAGAAATCCTCCACTTACTATGTTAATGAAATCAAATCAGTGTAATAAAAAGTAATTCATTGAGAGTTCATATCAACAGTACATTTTGAAAAGAATTACTGAGATGCTTTGTCTTTTAATGAACTGCCAGAATGTTTTAAATTTTTTTAAATATTTGGAGGAATGATATGATAAGCATCAAGTTTTTTGAGTGGGAGCAAGATATAATTGCTTCAGCAACTTATTGTATAAGAAAAATGTATGTCAATCCAAGGATACCACAGGATTACTACATTCGTACTAAAATAAATAGATTAATGATTTTTTTATTTTTACATTATTTATTTATTTTTATTATACTTTAAGTTCTAGGGCACATGTGCACAACGTGCAGTTTGCTTACATATGTATACATGTGCCATGTTGGTGTGCTGCACCCATTAACTCATCATTTACATTACGTATATCTCCTAATGCCATCCTCCCTCCTCCCCCCACCCCACAACAGGCCCCAGTGTGTGATGTTCCCCTTCCTGTGTCCAAGTGTTCTCATTCTTCGATTCCCACCTATGAGTGAGAACATGCGGTGTTTGGTTTTTGTCCTTGCGATAGTTTGCTGAGAATGATGGTTTCCAGCTGCAGCCATGTCCCTTCAAAGGACATGAACATAGATATGCATGTTTCCTCCACCTACTTAATAATTCTTAAATAACATTCTTAATAATTTTTCATTAGTAAAGCAGACAAATATTCACTGTCACAAGAATGAGGAAAGGAGAAAATAGATTGAGTAGGTCCAAATTGTTGCAAGGAATGTATTATTTCACAACAGCCTCCAAATAGATATACTGTCTTTATTTTATAAATAAGGAAAATTCATTTAAGGAATGCAGTTCATGTTGCCAATGGTCACAAGAATAATTAACGATGAATTTAAATTTGAACATAGTTCTAATTAGTTTCACATAATTTGTTGCCACATTTAGGGGAATACTAAAAATGACCATTTTAGGGACAGCATGGTAAAGATTTTAAGAAAATCACAATAACTAAAATTAACAATGACAAGTTTCTGTACATGTATGTATGTATGCTTTATTTCGATGAATGGAAAGTCACTCAGTACTTGAAATGTGTAGGTATCATGGATATCATCAAACATGTATTTTATTTCATATGCTCTCTTTTACTTTAGAGAGGTGACATACATATACATACATAAAGAGGAAGACATCCCGAGGAGTGTTCATTATACAACCCTTTGTAAATTATTCCTTCTGGAGTGCTGTGTGCTACTGAATGTGTGAAACATATGTCCTCATGGCTTTGATTTCCTATGAAAGAGAGAGACAGATCAGAGAGTTGTTCTCCTAAAACTAGAGGACTCTAGAGAAGAGCAGTAAAGGGAATGGATTCTAGACCCAGACCAGGATCGTGTTTTTGTCACGCACTTGGTATATGGTACGTGACCTTCGTGAGTTAATCTACACTAAGTAAAAAACAGTTTCTTCTTTTGTGAAATAGGGGTAATGACAGTACTTATCCCTTAGGGTTGTTGTGAGGATTATATCAGTTAATATATGCAAAACACTTAAAATATCATCTGGTATGTATTGTGCTATTGTTACTGTTAAGCTCTTTTATAGCTGGTTCTAAAGATTCCATTCTAATAGAATGAAGAGGCATTCTCTGTAAAGGGAACTTCAGTATTCCAATTTCTGCAAGTATTAGATTTAACATTCTCTGTCTCCAAACACCAGACTCTTCTTTGAAAGACAAGTACTATGTTTACTTTATTAATGTTTTTCTTACAAAGAACTCAAAAGCTCATATTTAGCAATTACATAGAGCAAGGGTTATATAGCTAGAATAATCTTTAAAATTATAAAATCTCATCAAATTTCATAAATAAACTCATATTCATCATGTTATTTGTATTTAGATTTTTTCAAAAATTAAAAACTTATTATCTTCATGCATTTTCAAACAGGATTCTATTTCCATTAAATATTTAAGTACCTTTAATTTATGCCCTGTACAAATTTCTAATTTACGTTGATTGTAACTATTTTGCTAATTTATGAATCAGTAAAAGCCATGTAAACATGTAATTCAAGATTTAGTTTACAGCAAAGAATCAACATTATTAAATTGTTAAAATTGATATTAATATTTCTGAGTGAAGATTCAAATTTTAAATTCATATATTTTTATGAAAGTTCATAAAACTTAACATCATAACTTTTATTAGATTTCAATTAAGATTATCAAAAATTAAAATAAACCAGCTGACTCTTTATTTTTAGATTTAAAGAAGAAACACATTCAGTTTTATATTGATTCCTCATTCAGTCATACCTTCACTCACTCATTCATGAATCACTGATCATTCCTCCTTGAACAGGTCTCCATGTTCTAAGGAACAGATTACATTTTATGTTTAACTGTTTTCAGGTTGCCAGGGTAACAGTGACCTGTAAAAGAATATCATAAGCACCATCTTGTCTGATAAAATGAGAACAAAAGACATACATAAATTATAAATCACAATAGCTTATTAAATCTCTAATGAAGGTACAAAGAATAATGGAAATAAGGATAGAAAAAATGCAATGAGGAGGACTGGGGAAGGCTTCATGAGGCAAGGTGGCATTTGAATTAGTCCTTGAATAACTGGAATGAGGTTTTGGTTACTTGAGAACAAAAGAAAACAGCACAAATTAATATCCAGGGGCAAGAAAATGAAGGATACACTGAAGGATGACATGTAATCTAGTGCAGCTGGAACATTGGTGCCACTTGGGCACAGTACAATATAGACTAGAATATTAGGTAGAGGTCAAAATGCAATCTTGGAAGCAGAAAGCAGCCCTCACAGGACACTAATACTGCTGGCAACTTGATCTTGGACTTCCCAGACTCCAGAATCATGAGTAATACATTTCTCTTGTGTATATATTTTTTTAAAAAGCAAGATATTACATTAAAAAAGATATGTGTGCCCAGATGAAGAATACGGAGTCCCTCTTTGTAAGTAAAAGGAAGTCACCAAGGGCTGCTGAGCCAGACAGAGACGCTGGCAGAGCTATTTGGGAGAGACAATGGTGATGTCAGTGAACAATGCATGTTGCTCATATTCAGGTGAGTCAGTATCTCTATTCTTTGCAGTTTCTTCATCAGTGCTTTTCAAAATGTAGTTTCTGTTTATGTGACTATCATAGCTCCAAGGTGTTACCTACAAATGTATAAGTGTATAAAATATAAATATTCATTTACATTAATTGGACTAAAAAGAAACTTTTGTAATTCTTTCTTTTATGGATGACATACTGTATTAGTTTCCTAGGGGACAGTAACAAAATGCCATAAAATGGATAGCCTAAGGCAAGAGAAATATATCCTCTCCTGTTCTTGGAGTCTGAAATCAAGGTGCTGATAGGGTCAAGGCCCTCGGGGAAAAATTTTTCTTGGCTCTTTCTAGTTTCTTGTGGTTGTCTGCAATCGTTGATATCTCTTGCCTTGTAGATGCCTCACACCAATTTCTGTCTCTGTCATTGCCTCTGTCGGTGGGTAGAACACCCGTTTCTGTGTCTGTGTTTCTACTTCTCTTCTTACAAGGATACCGGCTATATTGGATTTAGGGCCCACCCTACCGCAGTATGACCTCATCTTAACTTGAGTACATATGCAAAAACCCTGTTTCCAAATAAGATCACATTCACAGGTGCCAGAAGTTGGCACTTGACTATATCCTCTTGGAGGTCACAGTGGAGCCCACAACACATACTAATAGCATTTTTTTTTTTTTTTAATGCTGAACTATCTCTAGCTGTTAGTTGTTAGTGTGACCAAGGAAGCCAGAGCTCCTTATTGAGGAAATAACCGATGATTTTTGCCTGGGTATTCGAGAAAATCTAACCTATCTGTGATGCATTTTACCAAAAGATCAAATCATCAGTCGTACTCCTTTTATTAATTCATCGAAATGTGATTTTGTTTAGGTAGGTAGTCATAGTCTAGGAAAGGATCCTTAATTACATTTTTCAAAAATAATTCTCAATTTTTATATTGATACTGTTTTTTTCAAATCTAATTTGTCTTCAATTTCTTCTTTCTTTCCTTTCCAATAATTATTTATCCCATTTCCCCACACTGCTCATTTACTACATACAAAGATGAAGCTTAGTGTCAATGGCAAACATAATAAATGTGTGTGGTTTTCCATCTTCTAAGCCAATGATGAAACAATATCAACTCTTGGCACCCCAAAATAAAGACTATGACCAATAACCTAACGCTAGCGGCTAGGCCTGCAAAGTGTTTTCACAGTTTAAAGAATATTTTCGGCCGGGCGCGGTGGCTCACGCCTGTAATCCCAGCACTTTGGGAGGCCGAGGCGGGCGGATCACGAGGTCAGGAGATCGAGACCATCCTGGCTAACACGGTGAAACCCCGTCTCTACTAAAAATACAAAAATGAGCCGGGCGCGGTGGCGGCGCCTGCGGTCCCAGCTCCTCGGGAGGCTGAGGCAGGAGAATGGCGGGAACCCGGGGGGCGGAGCTTGCAGGGAGCCAAGATGGCGCCGCTCACTC